GTAATTCATAAAGTTCCTGGTCTCTAGGTCCTATAGTTTCTGGTCTCTAGGTCCTATAGTTTCTGGTCTCTAGGTCCTATAGTTTCTGGTCTCTAGGTCCTATAGTTTCTGGTCTGTAATTCATAAAGTTCCTGGTCTGTAAGTCCTATAGTTCCTGGTTTTTGAGTCCTGAGGTTTCTGGTCTCAGGTCCAGCAGGGTCTTCATGCTGTTATCTACATTCTCCACCTCACAGCTGTTAGTTAGAACTTTATAAGACCCTGAAGAACCCAGTTCTGAACCACAGGAGCAGAACCTGAAGGTTTTGTTAGTCTTCACTCAGAACCAAACCCAAAAACTTGATTTTTAACTTTTTAAATTTCTTCTACAACATTTAATTTTTAATTATTTATTATTATTTTACAGACGTCAGGAGGTCCTCTACAAACAAGCCAATAAACTGCAGCCAGAACCTCCTGCAGAACCGGGTCAGAGCTCAGAACTTCCTGCAGAACCGGGTCAGGTCCAGCCCACATAGTAACATGCAACTTTCTGACTGAACCTGGATGGTGGAGAGAATACATCAGGTTCCTCTGTCCTCTCCACCTTCTGAGGCTCACTGAAGAGGAGGAGGAGATGAAGACGAAGAGATAAAAAGGGAAAGATGAATAGGAGGAGATGAAGAGGAGGAGGAGGAGATGAAGAGGGATGACAGAATCTGAGATGTTTTTCAGGTTCATGTTGGACCGGTTCTGGTTATAAGGAACTCTATAAACAACGTGATCATGAAATGTCTCCAGACTACAATTACATTTTACTTCCTGCTTGAACAGCTGGTTTCTGATGACATCACATCCTGTTCCTGGCAGGAAGGGAAGTATTTTTAAGGTATTTTGCATTTATTGTTAAAACATAGGCTGTGTCTCAATCATAGGTTGCAGCCCATCTAGACCTCGGCCCACAGTGGCCCGACCCTATATAGACCATGGCAAACAATGGATAGACCCAAACTAGACCATGGCAAACAATGGACAGACCCATCATAGACCATGGCAAACATTGGACAGACCCATCATAGACCATGGCAAACGATGGACAGACCCATCGTAGACCATGGCAAACGATGGATAGACCCAACGTAGACCATGGCAAACAATGGACAGACCCATCGTAGACCATGGCAAACAATGGACAGACCCATCGTAGACCATGGCAAACAATGGACAGACCCATCGTAGACCATGGCAAACATTGGACAGACCCAAACTAGACCATGGCAAACAATGGACAGATCCAACGTAGACCATGGCAAACATTGGACAGACCCAAACTAGACCATGGCAAACAATGGACAGATCCAACGTAGACCATGGCAAACAATGGACAGACCCAACGTAGACCATGATGGCAAACATTGGATAGACCCAAACTAGACCATGGCAAACATTGGACAGACCCAAACTAGACCGTGGCAAACATTGAACAGGCCCAATGTAGACCACCGCAAACAGTGGCCAGACCAAAAGTAGACTTGGGATACATGGGCCACTCCCTATGTGGGCCGTAGGCCACCAATGTTGGCTGCATAAACAGCTGAATGAGATGGTCTAGTCTACAGAAGACATGTTTGACATGTAAGCTGTTGTTGTTTAGTCTAACTCAACCTGAGCTATACAGAATGATGTCATCAGAGAGATAAACATGTAAACTGTTGTTGTTTACTTTGATGCAGGCTGGTGCAGGTTTTAAGTGGATCAGTTAGGAAGGACCCTGAATGAGATGCAGGTTCTGATAGCAGAACCGGGTCATCGGGTCTGACTGGTACCTGAGCCTGCGTCTCTGAGGGGCCTGCTGGTCCAGGTCTCTCTGCTGCCGCTCCTCCCGGGTCATCCCTTTGTAATTAGAGGTCAAACCGAAGATGGGCCTGGACCACTCATCTGAACAGAACCAACAGTCCAGGACRTCAGAGTGGGTCAAAGACCCGGATAATAAACATTTTATTGTTTTCGGGTCGGGTCTTACTGATGAGCTTCAGGGCCAGGTCTTTGTTGACCCGGGACTCTTTGGGGTGCTTGTAGAGGAACATGACGGCCCGTCCGATCCCACTGTGCTTCAGGGTCTCCTGGCTCACCCCGGGCAGCTTCARGAGCAAACACAAGTGAGACTGAGTGAACGGGTCCTGAGACCTGCTGGACTCGGGACGGACTCTCACCTCCTGCAGGATCCTCAGCAGCTCCTCTCTGATCCTGAGAGCCGGCAGGGACTTGTCTGGAAGAGGACTGATCCACTCTTTGATTGCTGACATCACGCCGCTGTCGATGAAAGTCTCCTTCAGGTCCTGTCTGAGAGAGACAGAACCCCAGAACCTCAGAACCTGAACTGGATCCAGTCCTGAGTCAGACCAGGATCCCAACAACAAACTGTTTTTTTTTCTAACCCAGATGTGAGGAGAGCTCCAAACACCGAAACATCTGGAACCAAGATATGTGTTTATGACACTTATTGTGCTGAGCCAGGAGAGGAGGCGGAGCAAAGACAGAGGGGGAGCAGCCAGGAGAGGAGGGGCCATGAGAGGAGGATGAGTCAAGAGAGAGGAAGAGCCAAGAGAGAAGGGGAGGGGCCAAGATAGAGGAGGAGGAGTCAAGAGAGAGGAGGAGGAGGGGCCAAGAGAGAGAGGAGGAGCCAGAAGAGAAGGGGCCAAGAGAGAGGGGGAGGGGGGCCAGGCAAAAGGAAGAGGGGGCCAAGAGGGAGGAGGAGCAAAGATAGGAGGAGCCAACAGAGAGGGGGAGGAGCAAAGACAGAGGGGGAGGAGCCAGGAGAGGAGGGGCCATGAAAGGAGGATGAGTCAAGAGAGAGGAAGAGCCAAGAGAGAAGGGGAGGGGCCAAGATAGAGGAGGAGGAGCCAAGAGAGAGAGGGATGGGCCAAGAGAGAGGAGGAGGAGCTAGAAGAGGAGGGGCCAAGAGAGAGGAGCAAAGATAGGAGGAGCCAGAATAGGAGGGGCCAACAGAGTGGGGGAGGAACCAGAAGAGGAGGGGCCAACAGAGAGGGAGGGGCCAAGAGAGAGGATGAGTCAACATGAGAGGAGGAGGGGCCAGGAGAGGAGGGGCCAGGAGAGGAGGGGCCAGGAGAGGAGGGGCCAGGAGAGGAGGGGCAGAAAGAGCCAAGGGAGAGGGGGAGGAGCCAAGAGATGAGGAGGGGCCAAAATAGAGGAACAGGAGGAGCAAAGGGAAAATGGGAGGAGCCAGGAAAGGTGAGGCCAAGAGAGAGGGGGAGGGGGGCCAGGCGAGAGGAAGAGGAGGGACCAAGAGAGGAGGGGGAGACAAGATAGGGGAGGAGCCATGAACGAGGGGGAGGAGCCATAAGAGACAGGAGGATGAGGAGGAGGCAGGAGTGTCTGCAGACAGGTCTCGTCAGTTCAGTTTTTAAACAAAAAGACAACAAATGAAACMAAGACCAACATGAAATCTAAGTTTTCTTGTTGATTGTGTAAAATGTTCATGTTTAGAGTAAATAATGTGAAAAATAAAAATGTCAGCAGGTCACAAACAAACCATCAGGACAAATAAAACCTTACTTCTTCAGGTGCATGACCACCTGTGGCAGCAGCGTGAGCTTCTTCAGCGCCGGTTTCTTCTGGCTGTTTAGAGTGCGGTCNAACATGTTCTGACGGATCAGAAACATGTTCTGACAGGTCTGAAACATGTTCTGATGGATCAGAAACATGTTCTGACGGGACTGAAACATGTTCTGACGGGACTGAAACATGTTCTGACGAGACTGAAACATGTTCTGACAAGTCTAAAAGACATTCTGACAGGTTTGAAACATGTTCTGACGAGTCTAAAAGATGTTCTGACAAGACTGACAGATGTTCTGACGAGTCTGAAACTTGTTCTGACGAGTCTAATAGATGTTCTGACGAGTCTAATAGATGTTCTGACGAGTCTAAAAGACGTTCTGACGGGTCTGAAACGTTCTGGTGGGTCTGAAACATGTTTTGGTGGGTCTGAAACATTTTCTGACGGGTCTGAAACATTTTCTGACGAGTCTAAAAGATGTTCTGACGAGTCTAAAAGATGTTCTGACGAGTCTGAAACATGTTCTGACGAGTCTAAAAGATGTTCTGACGAGTCTAAAAGATGTTCTGACGAGTCTAAAAGATGTTCTGACGAGTCTAAAAGATGTTCTGACGAGACTGAAACATGTTCTGATGAGACTGAAACATGTTCTGATGAGACTGAAACATGTTCTGATGAGACTGAAACATGTTCTGATGAGACTGAAACATGTTCTGACGGGTCTGAAACATGTTCTGACGAGTCTAAAAGGTGTTCCGACGAGTCTAAAAGACATTCTGACGAGACTGAAACACTCTGACGGGTCTGAAACATGTTCTGAGAGGTCTAAAAGGTGTTCCGACGAGTCTAAAAGACATTCTGACGAGACTGAAACACTCTGACGGGTCTGAAACATGTTCTGAGAGGTCTAAAAGGT